ACATGCCTTGTCGCGGAAGTACCAGATGTCTCGCCCCTTGGGACTGCGCGTGGCGGCGAGCGGCGGCCTCCACGTGAGGATTGAGCTGGCGCAAATGGACCAGCGCCGCTGTGGCGCGCGTCGTTACATGTGCTGTCGCGAACAGCAGCCCAACGACGCCTGCTCCTGGTTCGCAGTGACCAACGCGAGGCTTAGCGCCTTCAAACGTGAGCGCTCGAGCGCTCGAGGGCTGGGACTCCATCGACGGCGACGCCAGAACCTCAAGAGCGGCGCCGACCTCAATGGGGTCGCCGAGCGACGTACCAGTGCCGTGCATTTCCAGCCGGCCGATCGTGCGCGCGTGCAGACCAGCGCGAACAAGCACGTCGGCCATGAGTGCTTGCTGTGACGGCCCGTTTGGAGCGGTGAGCGAGCTCGATCGGCCGTCTTGGTTCACGCCCGTGTGCTCGAGTTGCGCCAGGGCGATATGGGTGGGTGATGGATCGTTCGCATCGCGCGCGAGAGCGTCCACGTCAAGAGACGTATTCGATGTCACGCGAAGGACTACGCAACACTCACCCTTGGCGTATCCGTCTGCACTCGCATCTAGAGTCTTGCATCGACCGTCGTACGAGAGCATGCTGGCCGCCGCGGCCAGCAGGAGAGTCCCCACACCCACATTCACGCTCACGCCAGCGACGAGGGCATCATCGCACTCTCGACCACGCAAGTACGCGCTCGCAGTGTGTGCAGCGACGAGCGATGACGAACACGCCGTATCCACGCATACGGACGGCCCTCGAAGACCGAATGTGTACGACACGCGACCGCAAAGCACGCTTAATGCAGATGAAATACCCATGTAAGCGCTCGGACAGGCAACGTCATTTGCAGTAATTTGGCTCGCCGTGGCTCCCACTACTACGCCATACGCGCTGTTACGATTCGAGTTATAGCGTTTCAGGCTTTCAAAAACAGTTTCAATCAGCATAAGCTGTTGCACGTTCAACTCGCGCCATTCATTGAACGGAATTTGAAACAGCCTGAGCTCGAAGTCTACTTGTTGTATGAAATGGCCGAAATGCACCGATCGTAATTGCTGAAAACGATCCTCGTCGTCGTATAGTGGTGCTAAAGTGCCTCCAAATACGCATTGAACCTCGCCTGAGAAGTGATGTGCTGATGGCGTTTCAGACTTCTGAGCAAACGCAAGTGATGAAATGTACAAATTAACGTCCACAGAGTACTCTGCTTGGAGGTAGGATGGGACTGCGGCCAAAGATTCCCTATTCGACGTATCAGGTCCGGTCGGACGAATACCAAAACCGCTTGTCTCGACTTCCGAAGAAGTTTGACGGCTGAAATATCCACTGGAAGACGAAGTCAAAAGAACGAAACCACAGATAGCAGTGATTGTCGGGTAGTCAAATGCCAACGTAGCTGGCATCGTGACGCCTGTGTCTCTCTGCAACGCGCCACCGAGCTCCACGGCGGCGAGCGAGTCGAGACCTTCTTCCATGAGTGACGCGTCCGAGGACACATCCCTGCCCAGGGCACGCGCCACGGCGGATGTAACGAGCTGGCGTACGCTCTCGTCGGACGCCGGACGCGCGCCTGTGGCACCTTTCTGGCTGACTGTTGCTCGCACATCTGTGCTCGCCGCTGGCTTTGTACGGTATTCTGCAACCAGCGCGCTCGTGTGATTGTGCGTCTTCGAGAGCACAGTCCACTGGAATGGAACAACAGCCAACACAGCACCAGTGGCCCACCATTGGGTCGTTGTCATCGACTCGTGCAGAGCGACGCGCACGGCTGCAAGTCCCGCGCGTGGATCAAGCACGCCGATCCCAGACGCACGTGCATGTCCGAGCACGGCGGGGTTCGAGAGCGCCATCCCCGCGCCATCCCACGCACCCCACTGAACAGCACGCACGGCGGTTCCTCGGCGCCATTCGCGCGCGGCTGTGGCATCCAGCGCGCCATTCGCCGCGCTGTAGTTGCACTGACCTGAATTGCCGAGCAAGGATGCCACCGATGAGAACAGCGCCGTGTGGTGTGCGCCACGTGCACCGCTCACGCAGTAGTCAAGTAGCGCGTGCGCTGAAGCCACTTTGGAGGACCAGACGTGTCGATGCGCTGACGCAGACTGGCGCGCGGTCAAGGCGTCTCGCAGAACGCCGCCGGCGTGTAGGACACCGCACGCGTGCGTACGTGCGTACGCGTACTCGCCACCGTACGATACCTCATCGCTCGCGCACGCATCGACGCGGATTATATGTAACGCGCCCAGTTGTGGTTGTCCACCAGACGCCCAGCGTAGCAGCGGCGACTCCCCTCGACCACGACGACCCGTTAAGTAGGCGTGTCGGACACCGCGATGCGCGTACCACGCCGCTGATGTCTGGCCAAGAGCGCCAAGGCCGCCCGTGACAAACACACT